TTTTCCCATTCAAATTTTCTGCGAGTTTGAACAAACCGACAAAGCGAATCTTTTATCTTTAGGAGCGATAAGTACAGTGGAAAATAAAAGAAATGAACCTGTTAGACTCTAACGGTTAGAGATAAGATTTAGGCATGCTGTCTGTACATTATATAATCTCACTTGTCATTGACACGCAAAAATTGCAATAAATTGCATGTTAAACAAAATTAATGCCGTGTTTCTCACATCGATTCTGTCACATTTTCCCCATTGAATATGATTGATAGTCGCAGGAATGATAATAAACTCATCAGGGATTACCGTACAACTTGAAAATCCACTACTTCGTAAATTAGATTGTGCGGGAAAAACTGCGAGGCAAAATGTCACGAGAGTGAAATAAATGGCAATAAAGTAAGTATTTCTTTGAAAATATGCGCTGTAGAATATGTTTATTGCTGTCTCAATTATTTTATTGAACTTTTATCTGTATAATGTTGAATCTTGAAGCGCAAAAATCTTACTTTTTCTAGTCAAGAAGAAATTTAACCTAGATGCAGGCGATTCTTGAGTATCTTATCTCTTCTTATCACTCTCTTGGCATGAATGGTTGGTTTGATACTCTGTATCTATGATATCCAACTGTGCGATTCACTATCTTAATAGGGCACTAAATTACTGGATGAGGAAGCAGAAATTCCTTACAATTACGCGTGTTATCATTTCTGAAGTAGTTTTAGAATGCATGTGAGTAAAAGTGTTGTAAAACATCTATCTGACTACTGTAGGATTGCCCTGAATTGCGATTATTACTATCAATGTGAGATATGAATATGAAAGCTGAACAAAGTACATATGAAAAGAGATTCAATCAAGAATTTACGAGATAAGAAGAACAGGCGCTACTAAAGCCTGTTAATTTGCATTGAAAACCTTATGTAATAATATTTAATTATAATTATTAATCTCTCAATTACTCTCGATTGATTAATAAGAATTATAAGTACACTTAATTGAGAAACTTTGATAAGCTTTTCGAAAGTCACTCAATGGAATTGAGAAATCTCTTCTCCCAGTAATCAATAACCCTTTATTGAAAGAACTTCTCTACAAATATATGTACATATGTAGGTAATATTTCGGATAAATATTACTTGCTGGAGTCTCAAGTATCAAGGTACAACGGTATTCTTGTGATTAAAACAGGTGAGAAAGTGCAGATTAACCATATAATTTTATCATTCCTCGACGAATGGCGACCGTCGCTATCTGCTGGTCTACCACATGTCTCTGCAGACGCCGGTGTGGTCTATGAGTTGTCCCTCCGGACAAACAAGCGGTGCTTCAATAACGTTGACCTGCAAGAACAACACGCAAATGAATTTCGCAGCACATTTGGTCTAGTGAAATGGCCATAATCCTCCATTCTTTGCGCGATAAAGCACCGACAGAGCGTGTTAATCCTTGCGGAGGATTTAGATAGCATAAGCCATCACTTGTGCGGTGTTATTTGGCAGTTTTCTGGCGAAATTCACCGGAAAATTTCCCTATTAATGAGAGATTCTTCAAACTTACTTGATTTTTTGAACCCCAATGATCCGTTCCGCTGATTTCGACTGGACCTTCCTCAACTGGTGGAGTCTCTTCGGGAGTCTCCAGCTCTCCTGGGATGTCCTCCAAGTGCTCCTCTGAAGACACTGGCAACGCTCTCGCGATCGCGAAAATGCCCAGGAGGACGGCAAAAATCCACAATATCTTCATTTTCTTCTCAGCCAATTAACCAATCACCAGTTCGCTAAAGAAAATACCTCGCTCTGAACGAATTTAATGAGAACTGCCACAAGACTGGATTAAGGTACCCAATGGGCGATGGTATTTATAAACTTGTTTGGATCTTTTGAAAAATCCCTGCAAATGATAAGCGCGAAATCGCGATCTTATCAAAGCTTCTATCTGGCTTTGCCAGCCCATCTTCTCTGATCAAAAGAGGCGTCACACTTGAGCGTTTCATTCACCTGATTCATGATGTTCTTTCAAATTAAATATAAAGCATGAGTATGACGCAGCTTTGCCGCATTTTGATTCCTGCACGAGCGCATATTGTGAAATTGTGACGAAGCTAAAGCGCGAGACTTAAAATTCTTCGGGAAGAGGTTTCTAGCACGCGATAGGATTTACTTTTGGGGGCACTTTTGAAGCCACACAATAAATTTTCGGTTATAAAATCATGTTCTAATCATTGTATAATGTGTGGTTTCTCACCAACTGAAGGTGAATTCTTTGTTTGCCGAGTGAAACATTCGTAATAACTTCTTTTGCTCAATTGGAAAATTGCTCACAATCATATTACAATTGAGTTGAGAAATGTATGGCGAGATTTATCGTGTTTTTAGCTCACAGAGGATGAAAACAGATTCAAACAGACTTATCAAGTGATTAATTTCACAATGATTTACACCCTTTTCACAAGATTTCACCGTCAATTGCAGAGACAATTTCATTTGTCAGGTTTTCATCAGATGCATTTTGATAAAAATCTTGCCATTCTGTGCATCGCATGTGGTGCTTATTGCGGGGAAAAAATGCTCCTAAACCCTGAACATGCCAATCACTAAATGACCGGATGTCGCTGAACTTATGAGCTTAACAAAGTAAATTCACTTGAGCATCACAATAGTTTCTTTTTGCGCTCTCAAATCCTCAGTCTCTCTTGCTACGCGATCACGAACAGACACTCTCTCGCACTCATCCTCGCGTATGTCATGAAGATCTGGGTTGACCTGAAGGTCCTGCTTATGGCGAGCTGCCTGCTGGCGGCGCTCCACGGCGCCGCAGCCAAGCGCTCGGGCATCGGCAGACGAGCAAAGTCCTCCAGTGGCAGATCGCACTCCGGGAGATCTAACCAGCAGCATCACTACGCGCCTCAGCCTGCCCCCAAGCCTGCGGCCCCGCCGAAGCCTGCGGAGGCGCCCAAGAGTGCGTCAAACCTCGCTGCAGCACCAAAACCGCCGGCGCCTAAACCCGCGGCTCCGGCTGCGAATCAGCAGCCCATTGGATGGAATGTGGGCAGCAATGCCAGGCAGAATCCAGGCGCGCCCGCCGGACCTCCGCCTCCCTATCCGGGAGCCAGTCACTACTATCCAGGCAGTGAGTGCTTTCAATCGAGGATTAAAGTGATGTGTCTGAATCAGTGATGATTAAGAATCCGGACTGAAATGTGCTAAAATGGCTAAAATAATGTTCAGTATTCGGAGATTCATAAAAGCAGCGCAACCTTATAATGTGCAATTCATTATGCGTCAAAGTGCATTTACACATATGTAATTAGCTTGGAGACCGTGAAAGTGTCTAGTCAGTTTCATTAACAAACGATGTGGTTATTATTTACAGTAAAATGTTTGCGTTTTCCTCTAACATGTCCGATAGAATTAATCGCTAATGAATGGATCTGAAACATTTCGATCAATTCCTCTTAAAGAAATCAGATCTTTCAGTTTTGAAGACCTGAGTTTTAAAAATAATAAGAAATGTACAGCTAAAATATGCCCCAAATTTGGCAAAATTGTGGAGTTGGAATTAAGTGATTTTATAATTAACATCGATTCTCTTCATTTAATGTTAGACGAATTTAAAATATTTGGTCAAAGCGGTCAAAGCTGTTCCATTCTCTTAGTAAAACTTTGCGGCTTTACACAATGTTAAACGGAAAAGTAACAATTTGTTGATTGTTCTTAATTTGAACTTGCACAAAAAGTGATTTAGGAAAATTCCCAATCTTCCAAGTCATTGCGAATTGGATATTTCCTCATCATTCACTTCATGAAAGTATGAATGGAAAAAGCGCGTGATTTTCATACATAATAACTTGAAAATGTTCCTAGGAAAAGCACTTTTGGTGCATCAAATTCGATGATTTGGGCTTTTTCTCACACGACTTTCTTCTCAATTCTTTCATGTGTTCTCGACACGAGAAGTCGGAGGAGCGCCACCAGCTTATTCCCCGCGAAATGCTCACCCACCATCGTACTCCTCCCTCGGTCACGGCCAGGGGTATCCGCATCAGAGCTACTCGCCTTATCAGCAGCAACACGCGCCGCAAATGTCCCATGCCGCGGATTCGTCCAAGTTCTACGGCTTGGGCGCAACGAACTTCGGTCCATCTCACGGCCACAATCCTTACATGTCGTCTGGATACGGAGGATATGGCGGACAGATGGGAAATCCCTATGCGATGGGAGGAATGGGAGGAATGGGCGGACATGGATACTATCCAGGAGCCGCTGCGGGCTTCGGAGGGATGGGCGCGGCTCCGATGATGGGAGGTGGACTGTACGGAGGCTATCAGAAGCCCAAGTCTTCACTCTTCAGTCTGTCTAACATACTGACGGGTGTGGCGCTCTATGGAACGGTAAGGAGTCTCAGTGGAGGCGGATGGGGCGGCGGTTACGGCGGTTATGGCGGCGGATACGGTCAAGGCCCGAGGGAAGTGCACATCTACGATCATCGGGAGCGTGGAAAGGATGCGGCTGAGAGTACGGCTATTCAGCAAGCTGTGGGATTGCCGGGTACTGCCAATGTCACCTACACTGCGAGCACTCCGACTCCTCTGGCGCCTTATCCGGTCACTGGTCAGACTGCTCCTGCGGAAGCGCCTCCTGAAGTCGTTGAAGACTACACTCTGCCACCCTTGCCGGCTGACAGTGAACCAAAGATCTACTTCGGCTATGGATTTGCCTATGGATATGGAGATTACTCTGTGGATTCAGACAACTCCTCCTCATCCTCCGCTTCCAGTGCATCCGAGGAGAAGACTGAAGCCAACACCGATCAGGACATATTGACAGTGACTTTCTTCTCCGAAGAGGATCTAATGACGGAATCAACAGACACAAGTACTTCCCAGGGAAGCCAAGAGAGCTCGTAGGGAAGATTTAACCAGAGAGATTTTTTGTACCTTGAAAACCCCTTCTTTTCACCTAAAATTTTTCATACAAGATGTAACGAACAGTGTAAAAAGATTAAAATTTAACTTGTGGTAAGATTTTCTCGTACATTTTGCCACTGTTTATGATCCACACACTTCCATTCTTGCCCTCTTGCATCACTTTCACCGCTGCTTTTCCCACGACCGACGGATTCTGGGGAGGATATTCAGTTTTCCCGCCAATTTCCGGCTCTTGGTAAAGTTTGAAACTGTATTCTGGCATAGAGACTCTGTCCAGAAGCCGGGATTCCGTTGTGCCAGGGCAGAGAGTTAGCAATTTCACGCCCAGATTCTCTCGTCTGTGTGCCACTGAACGCGTGAAGGCGATGACTCCGTGCTTTGTCGTGCTGTAGATTGGGACCGAACTGAAGGGCGACAAGCCAGCCACTGAAGCGACATTCAGAACAATTCCACCTTTACCTCTGCCATTATCAAGTCTCATGTGTTCAATGGCCAGGAGACTTGATCCAATGATTCCACTCAGATTCACATCCACAACTTTCCGGTAGTCGTTCTCATTGAAAATTCCCGCGCTGTTCACCACGATGTCTAAGCTTTCGGAGCTTTCTGTGAATGTTTCATAGCATTGCTTGAGGTCTTCGAGCGACGTCACGTCCACGGGGAAGTATTTGATGGTGGTTTCTCTGTATTTGTTCGTCCAATCAGTCACAATCTGTGGCTTATCAGAGTGCAAATCCACAGCTGCCAAGCGTTTTACGCCACTCTTCAGGAGCTCCTCACAAATTGCTCTGCCAATTGCTCCAGCTGCTCCAGTAACTAAAGCCACTTTGTGCACAAAACTCATCTCGTAGAAATCACTCTTGAAGAGGGTTTTTAGCAATACAATCGACAACGCAGACTTGAATTTGATTACAAATGCCAGAGAAGTGCGGTCAAAACAAGAAAGCAGGAGAGAGATTAGATTAGAAAAAGTTGTTTATTCAAGATTTTATTTACATGGAGATTTGTGAGCTTTTTATGATATATGTATGTATTCAAAATATCGGGTCTGCGACATGAGCTTCAGAGAGTTCGCCTCGGTCCACAATCCAAACGCTTCCATTCGCAGCCTCTTTTATGATTTTCACAGCGGCTTTTCCAATTTCACAAGGACTGAAAGCACAAAACGAAGAAGAGTTAGTTTTGAAGAAGGAAAAGACAAGAGTTTTTATGACAAACTTCTGCGCTTGTTGCTTTGGGAATCTGTCCAGAAATCCTTGGACTTCCTCTGCACTGCTCATGAAGAAGAATTCGGGCTTTGCAGATTGATCGTACATTTGCGATTGTGTTGCTCCTGGACAAATGGTCAAGAACTTGATGCCGAGCTTCTCACGCTTGAAAGCCACTGCTCGCGTATAGGCAATCACGCCTTGCTTGGTCGCGGAGTAAGTTGGAGTGCAGCTCAGTGTTGTTAAGCCAGCAATTGAGGCGATGTTAATGACACATCCACCTTTTCCTCTGCCCGTGCTGACATTCATGTGATCGATCGCCAGACGAGTGGATCCAATGACACCGTTGAGGTTCACATTCACCACCGCGTGATACTGACTCTCGTTAAAGATTCCGGCACAGTTCACGACAATGTCCAGACTCGGGATGACTTTGGTGAACTCTTCGTAGCACTTCTCAATCTCGTCATGCGACGCCACGTCAACTTGGTAGTATCTCACGGAAACGTCCTCAAATTCTCTCCTCAAATCACCCACAATCTTCGGCTCCTGAGGATGAAGATCGACAATCGCTAAATTCTTCACGCCATGCTTGAGAAACTCCCTGCAAATAGCATGACCAATTCCACCAGTGGCGCCAGTAATTAAAGCACTCTTATTCACAAGAGACATTTCCACGCACATTTTGCTGAGCTTCGTTTCCGATCAACTGTTCAACCGCAACTGAGTTGCAGCGCAAGAAAAAACTCTTATTAAAAGATAATTTTACCTTCAGCGATCTTAACAAACAGTGCGGAAAGATTGCGACTTTTTATAGTATAAATAAGTCTTGATTATAATAATTAACGATAAGACCTTGATTTCTATTGGAAATGAAATGAAATAAATGATTGATTTGCAATAACTTAAGAAACCACGAAGATCTCTAGTTTGTTTAGACGTGAAGCTGTGATAATAATAGTATTGATAGTAAATACTGGCCCAAGGGAAAGAGACAAGTCAGAATATAATCCTTAAACTGTATTTTAATATTCATACAAAACACATCATTACTGCTCATTAAACAGCTAATTATTTACAAAGTAGAATCCAATCAGTGAAACACTACTCTTGTCCATCATAGCTCTCGACCTCGTGGATCTCTCTTGACGCTGATCACTTCTGACGCCGCTTTAATTGCTCGTATGCGACGAAGTGCGAGTGGAAGTTGACGATTTACCCGAGAACTGCCTTCTCCAGAATCGCATTCAGTGACAAGGGCGTCCAATTGTTCAGGTTGCCGTCGCTCATCATAATCACAGATCTGTCGATGTAGCAGAACATCTTGCCGATCCTGTACACCTGCTTGCCCATCTCGCGCCTGCCCGGCATCGGCGCGAAGATGATGCCGCGCTCCGAGCACTTCTGCAGCACCAGCTCCTTGAACTCCATCGCCACCGGCGGCTGCAGCTGCAAATCAAGCAGCGACGGCGGCACGACGGGCGGCCCCAAAAGATCTATCGTCGGCATGGCCGTTTCGATGCCCATCATGGGGATTGGCGTGGCCGTGGCGCGGTGCATAATCTCCAGCGCGCGTCGGAAGTGCTCCTTGATCACCGTCTGCTGCAGCACACTGTCCGACAGCATGTTCTTCCAGCCGCTGTACCAGCGCGTCACTTGGTCCAGATTCGGCGACTGATTCAGCCAGATCACGAGCGTCTGCATCCACTTGGGGAAGAAGTATTTGTCCAGCAGCTGCGCCATCGCCACAGCACTCAGCAGCTCGTGCCACTCCCACACCTGATTCCAGGGTTCTGCAAGAACAGGAAAAAATGCGGATTAGCAACATGTCGTAAGTCAAATCGCAGTGAGATCAGAAAATTTGCTGAGACAAAATCACTAAATTGAACATTGAAAATGAAAGCAAAGAAAAATTCCGCTGAAACTTCGGAGGAAGAGACCGAATACAAGAAAATTCGCGTCACCAGACGCAAGGAGAAGAACAAGACCATCGAGGAGGATGGAAAAGGAGGCTACATTGTCCGGGAATATACCATCAAATACAAGGTTTCTTTTATAACTCCCAAAACCAAGAGACTTCAACCGAGATCCAAGAAGAATGTTACCAAGAAAAAATAAACTCACCCAAATCTTGTTGCAGAGGATTCACTATGTAGTCCGCCAGCACCGTTTGCAGCTTCGGCAGGATGCTCTTCAGCAGAAAAGCTTGCATGTCGCCATCCGGGAAGACGCCTTTCCATGGCAGCAGCATCGCTCGCGCCGATCGATCATGTGGCGTCCAGGAAATCAGAGCGCTGGCGAGTTTCTCTCTGATTGTCGCGTAGACAGACTCCTCCATTTTGGCGCCCAAGAGACCTGTCCAGGGATGAATCCAGGCGTGGATGGGCAGAGTGTCCGTCAGCGGATCCCAGGCTTCGACACCAGACTGCAGACGAGGCATCACAATCTGCTCGAGGACGCTGTCCAGGACCCAGGAAGGGAAGAGCGGCGCCCACGCGTCCAGCAGAGCGACCATCGGCTGATGGAGTCTTGGATCCCACTGACCAGCCGCTTGGCGGATGGAAGGAACCACTCCTGACCACACCAACGCCGAGTAGGGATTGAACACGTTCCGCGTTTCACTCGAGTGCACCTCTAGAATGCCCTTCCACCGCTTGATGAGATCTGTGTGTCGCGTGGGCTCCTCCAAAGGCTTCCAGGCTTTCAGGTGATTCGCTACGAGTGGCGCTATGACGCCGGACGCCAAGTCACACAGCCCAAACTCACGATACTCGCCGGGAAAGTCCATTTGCAGGGTGAGGAAACAGCGCTCAGCCTCATTCAGGCTCAACTCCTCGTCCGGATCGACGAGTCTCTCCACGAGATCCACGACTCTCGCCAGCGTGTCGATGTGATTCTCCTCCAGATCGACAATCTTGCGCATGTTCTCCTGGTCGTGCTGCAGCGTCTTCTCCCTCTCGTTGGCCGCACGCTGGCTCTTGTCAATCCGGATGATGTCCTGTTCGCAGAGATCCACAATCAGGCTGAGATTGTGCATGAGTTCGGGTAGAGTGAAGTTCTCTGTTTTCTTCGTCGACTTCGGATCGTACAGTGTCTCGTCGGCTGCCTTAGTCTGCGCCAGGGCGTGATATCCACTGAGGACTCTCTTCTCCGGACCAGTCATGTCGATGACCGTGACATTGCCCAACTTACTGGACAATCTGTCGATAAAGGGCCCCTTTTTGCCCTTCTCAATCACATCCTGAGCGCTCTTGTACACATACTTCAGCTTCGTCGTCTTCGCCGTCTCGTCGCGGCGCCACTGGCTTAGCTTCTCCTTAAAATCGCGCTCCTCTTTCTCATCCTCGTCGATTTTCTTCACTGGCTTCTGGTCGGCCAGTGTGGCAGCCTTTTCCGGTCCGTAAGCGCCAATCGCGCCTCTGCCCTTGCGCACGTGCGCCTGTACGGGAGTTGAGATGCCCTGGAGGCTCTTGCCCAAGCCCTTCCCCGGCTGGTAGCCCATCTGCAGCAGCAGCTTGGCGCCGATGCCTTTCGTGTGCTGCTCCCACTTTCCAACACTCCCGGAAAGTTGGCTCTGCCCAGTGCGTCGGAAGCCTGCAGTGGCCTGGATGGAAGGCGCCTCACCGTCCGACTCGCTTGATGTGCCATCGTACTTTCGGGAGGAAAAACTAGGTCTGGCATCATCTTCATCGTCCTCTTCCTCAGACTTTGCCTCCTTCTTCTCCTTCTTGCCAGACTGTTGAACGCCGCCGGCGACAAAGTTGACTGGGGCAGAGTAATCCTTGGCTCTGCCCTTCCGCGAAAAATCCTCAGCTCCCTCATTGTCACTATCATCAGCCCACATGCCTGGAAAGGAGGACAATTGAGAACACCGCAAAACGTTTGACTTCTTCAACTTACCATAAATCTGCTGGTTCTTTGTCAACCTCCGCCTTCTGTTTGGATTGAACTCATTGTTCAAGTCATAGTCGGTGATCTCAAACTTCTCGTACTCGTTATCACTCATTTTCACCGGGAAACTCCAAGAAAACAGCCCAGAAAATCGTCGTTCAAAAAATTTGTTTACTGTCCAGGCGTCAACTGAGGCACAGCACAGCTGAGCAGAAGATCTTCCACGTCTTCAGCGCCATCTGCTGAGACGAAGTGTTTCGGGTTCCACTCACGGAGCGGCGCCAGTGCGGCCGCTTGACAGTCGGAAAAGTGAAGAAGAAGAAGAGCGAGTGAGAAAGTTTTTTAATTGCAAAGTGCACGTGTTTTTCCCACTTTCCACGGCGACTCTTTCCCGCTCTGCATGGGCGTCTCTTCCCTCTGAGTGGACACAGTCACGGGGGCCACCATGGTGCAGGTAATGTCCGGACGGGCGTGAAATGAGTGCGATTTGATGTGTCCGCGAGGCGCTCCAGTGGCGGCTTGGCGGGTGAAAAATTGCGGAAAAGAAGTGAAATGGGTGCATTTCCTGGCTCTCCCGTGGTGAGGTGTCTTCCTGGGGAGGCAGCGGACGCTGTGGGCGGCAGCTGGGGCGCGCGGAGGGCGGAATGCGGTGGTTTTGGTGCTCCCGGACGCCCAGAGTGCGGCTGGGATGGGCGCAAGGAATCAGAGAGCAGCGGCGAATTTCGGTGGAAAAACTCCCCGGCTGGCTGGGGTGGGCAGTGAGAGCGACAGGGAGAGACTGAGAGAGAGAGAGAGAGTGAGTGGCCGGGGAAAAAAGGCCAGAGGAAGAGAAGTCAATGATGAAAAAATGGTTATTGATTTTAGTGACGGTTTTGCTCGTTGCAACATTTTTCTCGTGTGTGCCTTTTTTTCCTCTGTTGATTCTCCACCCCGCGCGGCGTCCGGCGCCCGCCGCCCCCCGCAGAGCGTCCGGGAATCGCCGAGCTCTCGCTATTTTTGGGATTGACGGCCGCGCGCGCGATTCCAGCGGGGGTTTGGCAGCTCTCCGCCACCCCGCTTTTTTGATGCAGGACGCGCCACGCAGGTGCTTTTTTTCGGCGCTGGCCGGGAGGCGATTGGCCACCACCCCCACGGCCGCCCAGCATCGAATGCAGATGAATAATTTCCTGGGGTTCGCGCACGGATTTCAATCATGAGTCGCGTTCGATTGTCCTCTCTTTCTCTCTCCGTCGCTTTTTTCGCCAACCCGTTTTTGTTTGTGGCGCTTTATTTTTGCCCTCGCTTTTCGGGACGCGACCAATTGGCAGGGCGAGACAGATCGCGGAATATTCCCCAGACTCACGCCGGAGCGCCCCGTCGATGGCCTTTTTCCCGGGCCTCATTTCTATTGACACTTGGGGGCGATTGTGATTAGCCGAATTGGCCGAGAGCAATAATTCTCGACGCGGGGACGAAAAGAATGGATTTGGTATTTAAAATTTAAATAGCAAACAGGGTGGCATTTAACCCTTAGACGACGGGAAGCTTCAGATCGGGTTTGGAGCATTTAATTTTGAAGAATTCAATTAAATAAATGCACTCCAATTGACGGAAAGAGTCAATCGTCTGCTAAGGAAATCCATTATTCTTGTCCTTGATCTTCTTAGGCGACTTTTACGTTCGTAGAAGCATGAAAGAGAGTTATTCAAGTGAGATTTGCTCTGCAACAAGCAGAGAAAGCGCTTTTTATAATTCCCATTGGAATTGAAAGCAAAATTTGTCATTATTTCTTCTCAAACGTTCAACATTTTACAGAACATTAGTTTTATCAGGAAAAGTTTTGGTCCAAAAGATTTGCTAATTAAATCGTTTTGTTAAGCATCTTTAACCTTACCAAAGCTTTAAATGTTGAGTAAAGTCTCAAGCTTCTTGTTGAGATAAGAAATGTTTTGCGAGGCAAGAAAGCCTCAATCAGATTACATTCTGTATGTTTGAACGGTTTCAGCGGTGTTTTTTTTTCTTGCGCGTGCAGAGCTTTACCAATTCTTCTCGTTGTTCGCAGGCGCTGGACGACTGCGATGTGGGCCAGGATCTGCCGCAGGCCATGCAGCTGCTGGGCGAGATGAACAATCACGTGAAGCAAGTGTCTGACCTGGTCGAGAACATGCTGCAGAAGGTGAAGAGCGGCGAGATGTCGACGGAGTACGGGCTGAGCTTCCTCGAGATAAAGTACCACATGCTGCTCACATACTTGATCAATCTCACTTACGTGGTTCTCCGCAAGTGTTCAGGTATGCTCTGTTGGCGGTGCTTTTGTGTGGGGATTGCAGTGGTTGACCTGATTTGCTCTTGCAGGACAAACAATCGAGAATGATCCCTCAATTGACCGCCTTATCGAGATACGGACGGTGCTGGAGAAGATCCGTCCGATTGACCACAAGCTGCGGTATCAGATAGACAAGCTGGTGAAGACGGCGCAGAACACGCCGGCGTCGGGCACGCTGAGGGCGAATCTGGGCCTGGCGGCGACGCCGCTGCCCGAGGAGAGCGCCCAGACGCACGAGTCGGAGGACAGCGACGACGAGGCGGAGGAGGAGTCGAATCGAAAGCGCCCAACGAAGGCCGGCTCGAGTGCGGGCTTGTATGTGCCGCCGAAGCACATGCCAATGTACTATGAGGAGGACGAGAGCAAGGCTGAGCGCAGCAGGAAGCAGCTGGAGCGCGCCAAGAAGCGCTCCATTGGCATGTCCATCATTGAGGACCTGAAGGAGGAGTATCTGGACACGCCGGTGGAGATTTCGGGCACGTCGAAGGCGCAGCAGATGTTCTCGCGGGCGCAGAAGGAGAAGGAGGAGTTCGAGGAAACATATCTCACGCGTTTGCCGGTGACCAAGGCGGAGAAGCATCGCCAGAGGAGACTCACGACGCTCGGTAGAGTTGGCTTCTTTGCTCTCTTTCTTGTTGGGACTCTTGGCTGAAGTCTGTTTCTGTTTTCAGGCACTTTGGGTGATGAATTGACCAGATTTGGCGATGCTGACGGCGCTGGATCGTCCAAGAAGTCCGGGAAGCGCAAGCGAAGAGGCGCACCGAAGAAGAAAGGTGGCAAAAAGAGGAAGATTAAGTAAAGAGAGGCTTCCGAACTTTGAGAATTGCTTCCATGATTTTCTATAACCAAACCAACACACATTTCCTTTTTATGGTGTTTTCTTTTTTTTAGTATAAGAAGAAGTGTTGAGATTATGTTTATGTTTTGCCTTATGGATAATTTTTCTTTATTTTTAATTTAGGATTAAAGTTTTGTTAAGATATTTTCTTTAAGACATTGGTTTTCTTTTGCATTTTGTTAGATTTCTCTGTTGTGTTTCGCATTTGTTATCAAAAGGATTGCTTTTGTTTTAACGTGTAGAATTGAATGTGGTTTAAATCGCCTTCACAACCATACTTAAGTGGAAGATTATGACGAGGGGGGAGAAGAAGTTATTGAGATAGTGTATAAAAATAGCAGACAATGCGTGAGCCTTTAAAATATGTGTTGGTTGTCCTCTGATTTATCAAACGAGAATAAGATTGAAAAGTGGCGCGATAGAGAAAGAAACAAGCACAAAAAAACGATATAGAAGAAAAAGAAACAGTCAAAAAGAATGGATAATTAAGTAAATAGACTCACAGTTGCCTTCATACAATAAAAAAAAGAGAGAAAACATAATGAGAAAAACAATAAAATATGCAAAAACATTGATTTCCTACTCCCGCCCAAAGTAAACTACAACAAAGAATGACGCTCAGATAAGATTTTGTATATAAATCAATGTTACATTTTATGAATTTGTTATAAAAGAAGATGATGAAGACTATGGAGATATTCATAAACAAGAAATAGCAAATAAATGGCACGCCAATCTTATTCCAGCGCAAAGGAGGACAACTTCATAAACTTTTCCTATACAGTTAATATAACGTCCAATAGTTGAAAGAGAACCGCATTTGAGAATAGTGAAAAACTTGTTTATCATTTCACTTTACCCAAGAATTGAAACTCGCTAGAGAATGCTCAAAACTCCATCTTTTCGCACACATTCGTTCGCATTCAATTACAAAAAAAGAAGCTCTTTTGGAAAGATTTTTTCGGATTCAAAAATCGAGATGTGTAAAATTGTGTAAAAAAAAATGTCGGAAATTTACGAGATATTTTGAAAATTTAAGGACTTTAAGGAATTTTGGCTAAGAAATTGAAGAAAAAAAAGATGATAAAATTACCATAAAATATTCCAATGATTGTGTGTCTGTAGATTTGGAAAGGAGAGAGAAAGAGAGAGAGAGAGAGAAAGAAAGAAGAATTATTAAATAAGAATCTAAACACTTAGTAATCAACAGAGATGTCCAAGTTATATTGATATTCAATTTACTAGTAATATTTATTCTTACGCAATTAAATGAGAAGAAGAAAGAAAAGCATTAGTTTGTATGCCAAAAAAAAGGATATTTTTAAAATCACACATTTGATGAATATAAACTAATTTTGCTCCAATCAATAAATAAATCAAACAACCAAGATTGTTTAGTCGGAAAAATCTTGGAGAAAAAAATGATTAAATAAACTAATGATAAAAAAAATATGTTTGAAAAATAATAATCGAATTGCTTCAGAAGATTGATGATAAAAAGAAGACTTGAACACTTTTTTATGATCTCTGATTTCATTGGCAAAGGAACAAATTATATTAAATGAATTCGGGGAGGGAAATTGAGGAAGAAAATATATACTCAGAATTTTGCTCAAGAACTATGAAAACTCTCGCATGGAAATTACATTTAACATCTCGCGAGAGAATTTCGACAATTTTACAGTCACTGAGAATTTATTAATAAGCTTTCTAATATGATAAATTCTAATTTGTTGAATGAAATTGAAGAAAAAAACGGTACTATGAATAATACTTGCAACTATGATTCCTGGTGATACACACTGACTTTATTGATTATGAATAGGATTCTTGTAGATTTCTTTTTTTTACTGACAGTGCCATAGAAAATGTCTTCGGAAATTTATCTCAGTTTGCGCACATTTTGTTTAACTGCATTTGTGTTATTTTTGCGTATTAACTAAAATCAAGACTAAAATGTTTTCTTGTAAACCCATTTTTCTGTTTTTTTGCACTTCTGTTAACACGATTGTTTAGGTTGTATTTTTGATTTGATTTTCTTTAAAATAAAAGAAAAAAAACTATGGCGCTTTGGAGTGTAAAACGAGAGAAGAATTAAAGACGCTAAAAAGTGCATATTTACACCTTAAATATTGCCTTCAAGTTTTACATGAATTAATTGTAATAAAGAAAAGTGAAGAAGGGAAAGTGAATACATTGAAAATAAAGGATAAAAAAAAAGAAAAGAAACCCACAAAAAGATAAGTAAAGCCAGAGGAGGAAAAGGAAACTCATCAACCAACACAAATGAAATAGAAACAGTTACTATTAAATATAAAGGAAAAAATGGAAGAATGGAAAACAAATTAAACTAATTATTAGTTATTGAAAAGCTAAAGGATAAAAGAAGAACTTTTAAAGAAATAAATAGGCAATTGTATTGTTTTTGATCATATATTTAAAACAATATTTACAAGAGAAAATAATGTGGTGATATTATTATTAAATGAGATGAAAAATGCTAAATGAAATAACTATTATTAATTTTAAGGGTTATTGTTTCAGACTTTTTCAGAACAACACCAAAAAAAAAAGAAAGATGAAAAATACAATAGCAAAAAAATGGATGAAAAAAATATCATGCAAATCATGAGATGAAGGAAAGAAAAACAAAACACTTTGAGAATGAAAATCTTTTGGGGTATCTTTGGAGCAAAATTCGAGCACAAGTTTTTTGGCAAAATTAAAAATTTGATGAAAGAAAAATTCAAAATTTGACAAATATAAAAATGAGACAAAAAAGTATGAGTGAAAAATGAAAAGTAAATCATGAATTATATCTCGAGCTTGAAATATTAAGAAAAAAAAAGAATGGAGGAGGAGAAAGAAAACCAAGTATTAATAAGTAAATTAAACTTATATCTTAGGTATATTGAGAAATACTTATAATTTCGTCAATAGTCTTTTGTAATCGTATCGATAATATCAACTTTGCGTTGTGTGTCTTTTGATTAAGTGATGTATTTTTGAACTCCAAAAAGTTTGGCAAGAATTTTAGACGTGTAAAACTCTTAATTGTAATGTTTGTGTAATTTTTGTAAGACCTTCTCTTGAAGCTGTACGTGAAAATTGTGCGATATAATACTTAAATGATAATCCCAATTGCATTGCAGCGCAAGAGAAGCGTTTAATTGCGTTCTATTGAGTCTTTTGGAGAAGAAACAAATAAAAAAAATGATGTGGAGTCAAAATTCTAAAAAGAAGAAAAAAAATACAGTAAAGAAAAGTCAGTCAATTTTGCGATATATATTCGATATATTTCATTAATCTGATAAAGTCGGGAAATTGACTCGTAAAACAGGCAAATTGATTGACTTTTGAGTGGAAGATATTTTATGTACTTTATTCTCCTTTCGCTCTACTTTAGAGATCCTTCAATTATATAATTTGAAAGTTCTCCTTCGGGAGGAGAAGAAGAAATTTAATACAACACATATTCAATAATAACCCAAGATGTCTTTTCATTTTTATTCACTCCTTCGGCGCCAGCGAAGACAAAGTTTGCAACGCTGAAATACCGTCATAAAAATGCTTATTGAATGGCGGGGAATTCCACAGAAAAATTATGTGAGTTCAATTTATTAGGGGCGCGCGCGATATGAAGAAAAAGTTGGCGAAAAGTGTGGGAAAAGAAGTCCTTTCACTTTTGCACGAGAGTTTTCTGATGTTTATAGAAGTCTCAAAATTACTCGAATGTCAGCGCGAAAGTTTTGTTATTGTCATTTACTTTTCTCGAAATTACTCGCGAGAGAGTGCAATTATAATTCCCGATTGTACATATGCAATTTAATTTCTCCCCATTGTGACGCTCCTTGGGTGAAAAGTGCCTGAAACTTTCTTCGTTTCCGGCATGTTCAAATGAAAATTCGTTATGTCATTTCCTGTAATATTTCCCGCGCGCGTCTCTCCGCCCCGGGAAAGTGATAAAAAGAGAAGTTAAAACTGCCGCCCCAAATGGCTTTTCTTCACGTGTCTCACGAGACTTTCACATGGCAGAGAGAGAGAGAATTCCGCCAGCGCAGAGTTGGCGCCAAGTAATATCACTTCCCATTCCCAGTGGCGCTTCTGCGGGCTTTGTCAAAATACATCTAATCACTTCCCTATTTATCTCAATACGTCTCATTCGCCACATTCTGCCGAACTCCACATCTCGCCGCTCCTATATTTTGTCTTCCTCTCGGCGGCAAAAGAAACTCGCCCCCGCACTTTCCACCCGCCATTTCCTCCACTTTTCCGCACTGAGATGATATATGAACAGTCATTTGACAAGATTTTTATACCGCATCCCACTCCTTGATTTCCTTTCTTATGAACGCTTCACGCAGAATTTCCTAGTCGCTCCAACAGAGTTGCTCACAACTTGGGCTAGATCATGTGAATTGATTAAAATTCACTCTCAGTTTATTCCTCAATTCTTCAATCTCTCATCGACTTGCGAGTAGAAATCAAGTATGAAATATCTTGAACGAATTCAAGAACTCTGAATTACTCCATAAACACAACTTTTCGTCACTTTTTCACGCTTATTCCTCGCTCCAATCTCTCATCTGCGAGAGCGTCAACTCTGATCGGGATCCATGCAGTAAATGTTTGTTATGAAAGGGGCGAGAGACTGGCGTGGTGTGGGTGGAAAATCATCAAGACGGAAACTACCAATAAAATATTTCCGATTTCTTCGTCTTTTGATATCGAGCACAATCGCAAAATCTCTTGGTAGCATTTTTTCCTCTCTCTCCCTCGCCGAGCTTTCCTCCGCCGTCATCCCATTCATCGCCGTAATTATTCAAGCAATTTATGAAAGTTTCCACCACAATCCCGGAACTGGGCGATGGGAGGAGAGGAGAAAAAATCCAATCAATTCGATGTGGCAGAATAAAGAAATTAATATTAATGTGGTGCAATTTATGAATTCTCGTGGACGACATTTATGGCATATTGTATATCAAAATTGCAGGAATTTACGAGGACCATCTGAGCAGGAAGAGTTCGAGGTGGGAACAGGGAAAAGGTCTCCTTTTTTTCTCCGTATATAACGTGATTTACAAGGAGGGATAATCTTCCATTTTTTCACGCGGGATTTCTTGTGGATCAATACGAATTCGCATCTGACATGAGATATTGTCTTTTATTGCTGCCAGAGCTTTCGAGAAGCTTCGCGCTGAAAATTTGCAGAAGGTATGATTCCAAATTGTGTTTCACAGCTGAATTCAATACGCAATTTGTAATACTTCAATGACTCCATGGCGTTTCCTTCACCACCGGCATTTGCGGGCTGGGGGGGAAAAGTGCAATTCTGCTGTGGCGCACAAAGAAGAAGCCGAGCAGGAGCGCAACGTGAAATCAAAAGATTTCATTTTATTACCATGAAAGGCTGAGGGTGGGCGCGAGAGTGGGTGGGACATTAAGAGTGGCGGTGAAAAATAGGATTTTTAGAAACTAGCATTACGCCGGCGAGTGAAAAAGTTGAACAATGACGACTTGGCCATTTGGAGTCATAAATTTAATTCTGAAATAAAAGGGACTCTCGGATCTTCGCTTTTTCGGGCTCCGCCAGCATTTCTTTGCAGCCAAAGGCGTGGGCGGAGGGACTCTTGAGACGAATTAAGGTGCGACGACGATGGGAAAAGTTTCTCTCTCTCGAGGTGTGCCACACTCTGGAATCTGCACAGTGTTGAATCATCAATTTTAGAATATCGTCCCCAGGGATAATGCTAAGGATGTTTTTGCCGCTAAACCCGCTCCAACTTTGAGTTTACTTTGCCACTCAAGTGCCAGCGGTGAAGGAGGTGTGATGGCCTGAAAGAACTCCATACTATTTATCATGGAATTATTAAAGCACCACTGAGTATTTTCACGTCTCACCGAGAGACTTTTCCGCTCATAAGTCTCATATCTGCACAATTATTCATTCTTCCTGACGCTCTCCCAGATAAGCTCACGCTGAAGGACGTCAATGAGTCGGGCTGGGCCGCATGCAGCTCCGCACAAACTTCCTTTTCTCCTGACATTTCATCGACTTAAGAGAGCGTGAGTAACTCTTAATTAACTAGCAAACTAATAACGAATTCTTCTATGCATTTGACGATGCAATTTTTTTCCTCCACGTGAAAAGCTCTAAACATATTTACAAGTTTTAAAAAACAACATTCTTCTCTTTGTGAAAACTTCGCCGTCAGTATTTGAGATGAATTACCCTTATGCTCGCAAGTGAAATAGATTCTACAAGTTCTATAAATACAAGACGAAGAGGGAAGAGCGTGAGGAGGAAAAATTGTGAAAATATGTGAGAAAATATTTGCGAAAATGGAAACTTTTCGCTGAGATCTCGTGTGTGCAAAATGAGGTTACACACAAGCGTTTATTTGAGCTCTTCGAACTGTCATGCGGGGGTGGCAAACGAGCAGCCAGAAGAAGTCGAAACTGGGACGTATTTTTATCATTCTCTCCCTCATTCTTTGCATGATGTCTCCGAGGAAAATTGTGAATATAACTTTTCTCCGCACATGTGAAATCGTAGAAGGCAAAATTCATTTCTTTTTGCATATAGCAAAAGTTGAGCTTTCTGCTTTGAAGGGAGAATAATGGAGCATTCTTATTTTGCCAGGAAAAGGAGATATGAAGTCGTAACGAGAAGATTTATTAGCATTCAAATCAAAGATAGGGAAAGAGCCTAAGATAGAGACTTTATGCATCAGTACGGAGTATTTTTTAATCGCAAAATGTCTCAAATTCACAGTCTCTGGAATGTTGGTTTGTTGGTTTCTTATGCAACTGCATTTTTGCTCAAAACTTCTCTGAGCCTGGGAAAGAATAGCTCAATTTCTTAGAGCTAACATAACAAGGCTGTAATTCAAAAATTTCCCATCTATTCGTCCCAACAAACTTTCAGTTGAATTGTGCGAGTTCACAATGAAATTTTTCATCTCTTCAAACTCCCAAACTTCCTGTGTCGTTTTCTGGGCGGCGCTGGAAGGTTGAGAAAAAAGAAGTGGGTGGGAAAGTGCACTCACGAGGAAGTTGGTGAGTTACGGAGGACAGATCTGTGCCAAATACCACATCCACCCGCTCCTGCGGGTCCGCAAAATCGAAATCCAAATGGCGTCATTCCAAGAATAGGGAAGTTCTGTAAATGGTTAACATTCCGCCTAGGAGTGACTCTTCAACTTCCCAGAATGGATTGGAACGGTCCTGAGAATTTAATAAGTTTAATGGAAATTAAAACTTCCATATGCTTTAGTCGCAATTTACTTTACCATTGTTGAAATCTCTAAAATTGTGAGAGAAATTGTCAGTTTTTGCATCGCTTTTCAACTCAATGCATCCGTTTTTATTTGCTCTCTGTCTAATTAAGAAAATGGAAAAAGTGTTTGTCCAAAAAACTTGTATGTCTCTGGGGAAAATTCAATAATCACACTGAGAACATTGTTATTCATCCTCCACACAAAGTCTCCCAATTCAATAGTTCAACAAATCACTGTGTGATTTTCTCAATCGCGTGCCAGAAAGTGTTCGGCGGAAAGTTTGCGCCCGAAGAGGCG